TAACATAATGATTTGGAATGTATAGGTTATTTAGAATACCACGTGACCCACAACGCTCAATAGGGTATGTAAAAATTCTGCGTCGCTTTCTCTATTATATGCTTTTTACAGAATCTAATTATCTCTTCTAGTTTAAAAGATATTCCAAAAACGCGACGCGCAACATTAATTGAACGCCTCTTTATAACATTATTAATAAAACAGATAATTTGCTGAATTTGGTTGAAAACACTGAAACGATTGATAAAACAAATACTGGTTTTAAATCATTGGAAAATGAGTTTAAAAATGTAAATAATATCTCAATCATAGACCAAAACTTTAACAATAATACCGGTATTTTTGCAATTATTAAAACATGAATATCTTTATTTATAACAGTTCTGTTAATTCAATTTATTGAAATCATAAATATTACAGAATATTCTGTAAACCATAACATACTATACAACTAAATACAACATATTTGACTTTTTCATTCTCATTCTTACAACATTTTAGCCGAAGACGTGTATAAAACCATAACCACAACGACGACAAAAACGTATACATCGGATAATATTTATACATCGGTTAACACAATCGTCGCCATTAAAGACAAGACATTGAATGCAACTAAAATTGTGTTTAACTTAACCACTCATAATGTGTCCGCAATTAACACTTCGGCCGATATATCAGTCAATGATTTATTGAATTCTTTGCGAAATTCTTGGACCAACTCTTCAGCCGATAAGACAAACACCGGACCAAAACGTTGGGTCGATTTTTTTGCATTTAATGCAACAAATGATTCACTTTTGCAGAAAATATTCATTGATTTTGCAGACATTTTAGATGAAAAATTGTCACCATTTTTGACAACGAGTGCCGAAACCTTTTTTATGTTCAAATGTATTGATTTATTTGAATCAAAGAAACTAACATTTAGGCTAAATATCATTATTTGTACCAATTTGTACAAAATGTATTTGGAGTCCAAATGAGATCATAAGTCATTTATTCCCGTAATTAGTTAAACGTATTTATTTTTTATATTTTTTTATTTCAGTAATTTTTTATTCAATTTTTACAAATGCTATCATTTGATAATATTTTACACAATAAAAACTGAGAATATTTAAACATTTACCATGTTTTATGCAATGAGAACTGCTTGACAAACAATAAAAATATAAAAGTTATGAAAATACAACACGTATTACAATGTATTCACTATTTATAACTTGATATGAAGTAAGCGTTTGAATAGTGTTTTCACACATCGAGTCGAAGGAAACATCACTTCTATTGTTACAAGAATTCAAATCACAGATTCTGTCAATGCATTCATGTTTTGCTAAATAAATGTAAATTTATTGTCTGTGTTTAAGTGATAATTAATTCTGTATAAAATTCACTGAAAAATACGAAAACTGAATTTTTTTGAGCGGAATATTCTGCGAATAATTTTGTTTCAAGTTTTAATTAATTTTAGTTTTCGTCATTAAATGAGATCACTTTAAAGTGATTTTTAATTAAATATTTAAACTGTTTCTATAAATAGTTTGTATTATAACTGTTGCATAATTAAATGTTATTAAATTAAAAAATATTAATTAATAAATAAGTAAAGAATCGGTGCATATAATGATTGCTCAGCACTTTATCAGATCGCCGTCAGTGCGACAAAAATTAGAGGACAGGTATGCGGGCCTCGAATTACTATCGGGTAAGTTATAGTTATTTGCTGTGTATTATGTACTGTAAATAAATGCAAAATGTTTGATAAGATCAACAACCAGATCATTTTGTCCATTAATTAACTTAATTTAAGTTAATATACAAAACTCAATTAAAAATGATTTTCATAAACTTTTGACTGTTTTATTGTCTATAATTTAAACAATACATAATGTTCATAAACTTTAATTTATCATAACATTTATAATATTTTAATTAACGCTATGATTGAAATGGTATTTAAATAGAAATGATAACTTAATTACTGTATTAATATTACATAAAAGTAATTTTACAAAATTCAATCTACCATCAGTCATTTGTTGGCAAATATTAACGCTGTAATAATAATTAGTTATCCATAATATGTTTATGTAATACAGTATTGCAAACATTTAAAGGACTTAATCGATGGGCAATTGAGACATAAATCTGGAGTTAGTGTCCGTCGAGACAATACGTTGGACACGATTGAGACCGTGTTTACGGACTTTATGTCTAGTTAAGTCATACTCGATATTGAAACTGGATTTACAGCCATTGATGCGACACTTAAACGCCTTCTGGTTGTTGTGTATCATGTAATGTGAGTTAAGTCGAAATCTTAGGGATGTCTTGTAGTGACAGTCCGGGTACTGACACTCGTAGTCCACGGATCTGTTGTGACTCTCTCTTTGGTGTCGTATCAGACTATAGTTATTCACGTATTGTTTGTCGCACTCATCGCATGCGTACCGATAATCACCGCTAAAGTAGTAGATTAAACACAAAATACAATGTATGGTAACTATTGACAGGCATTTATATACAGTATATTACCGGTGAATCCGCATATGAGACTTGAAACCGTCATAAGTGACGATAAGCTGTTGACAGTCGGGCCAATCGCACAGATATCCCGATCGGTCTGCGAGACGACATCGACTAAAGTTTTGCCTCTCGTCGTCGACTGAGATTCGGCCGCGCATTGGCTGGTCGTCGGCGTGAGTCTTGTTGTGGTGTTGTTTCAAATGATACGATCGTTTGTATGCTTTGGGACAATAGGAACACCGATAGGGCCGGGCGTTCGGGTGAGCGCTGACAATGTGTTTGTCCAATTGGTTTTGCGAACTCAAACTCTGATAACAGCCTATTTTAGGACATTTGAGCTGATCCGTGGCGTTACGATCGTTGTTGGCGCTATCAAATAGTAAAGTCACCACTTGTTAATAGGGTAGTACTTATTTGATGCCAACAATCACTAACCTCTGCGTTGATTTAGCTCTAATCTTATTCGTAGTCCGCGTCACACGCTTTGATTGAGTCATTAGTTTGGGTGTAGAGTTCGTGACCACCACTGGAACCGCTACTTCGTAATCATCGCTCATCTCCGGCATTAGATACTCATTTTTCACTTGACTGGTCATCAGTGGTAGCATTTCTTTAACAGTATTTGAATCGTTAACATAATTGTCGATATTATCGGCCGTATTATCGCCGACACTGTCATCGGTGGTCAACATATGCTCGTAATTGAAGCGTTCGCTCATAAATGAAAACTCTTGTCCGCGACTCTCC